TAGGGAAACTGAACTACCTAACAATCATGAGACTAGATATTGCATTTTGTGTTAGTGTAAGTCAGTCTCTCTTGGCACCTAAGAAACCTCATGTGAAAACTATGAAGAGGATTCTTAGGTATCTCAAGAAAACTCCAGGAAATCTAGTACTCTATTTAGATAGTGATCACACGAGAGTTACACGATTCTCAGATGCAAATTGGGCAGGATCTCCTGCGAACAAACGGTCAACTATTGGGTATTGTGTGCCTCCTGAAGGAAATCTAATATCATGGAAGAGTAAAAAAAACAGAATATAGTCTCTCGATCTACATCTAAGTCTGAGCATCGAGCCATAGCGAATTTGACTTGCAAGCTGCTCTAAGTTAGAGATATATTAACAAAGTGGTTATTCTGCAAAGTTCTCGTGAGCTTGTATGGAGATAACAAGGCCGTCATTCACATAGCTGAGAATCCAGTGTTTTATGAGAGGATAAAACACACAGAGATTGATTGTCACTTGATTTGTGAGAAGATGAAGAGGGCAACAATTACAGCCAAGCACATATAATCAAAACATCAACTTGTAAATATTCTCACAAAACCTCTTGGGAGAACACGAGTTAATTGTATTTGTAACAAGCTAGGCATGTATGGTATGTATGCTCAGTTTGAGGCGGAGTGCTGAGAGAGTTGTTTATTTCTTATTGTTTAGTCTCACATTAGTTAGGGAAAAACTCCATTATTTTCTAAAAAAACTGTTAATAACATCCAAGAGAGAACTAATAATCTCGCTAGGGTTTCACATTAACATAGTCCAACTTAATAGTGAGAATTATATAAGAACTGGTCTAGGCTAAGCAAAAAAGAAATTGTGTTAAAATATTAATAAACCTATACATTGCTTAATAAAGAAAAGAGAGCCTGAAAGTATGATTCTAACCATGTTCCTCCTTTTCTTTTCATCTTTAATTTGCCTTTACTTCAATCATATTTCAACAAAATGTCAATGGATCAATTAAAACTCCAAATACTAGAAATCAGAAGGTTCAGATTATAAGGCTTCGATCTTCTAATTGAATAGTACAAAAATTGGAACTACCAATGGGAACCTTTAAGGTGGACTAATTATGAAATATGTTCGCTTATGTACATACAGGTTTTCTATCCCATTAGAACATCTACAGAAGTTCGAAATCAGCTGATCACATGCAACTTTGCTGTAAGAGTAACTCATTAAAGAGGACCCTAGGTATACCTGTTCAATTCTATAGAATGGCGCAAGATGCTCATCGAAGTATTTTTTTTCCTCTGCTGCCTTACTTCCTGGACCCACCCATAGCTGCAACAGAAATAGTAATGAGATTATCCTTGAGATAAATTAAACCCAAATAACTTGTGCGCTAAATAGAAGGTTTGGCAATAGGTTATGACAATTATAAGAGCATTGGTTTACTTTTAGATTCGAAAAAGAAATATATGTTAAGACATTAAACCTACAGAATTAAACCAACAAAAAGAATTATACATACTAAATCATTTATAACACAGATTCGTTAAGCGTGATTAAAGGATCACTAAACAATATGAATGCATAGTTAATGAGAAAACCACAAACAATTGCATTGAGCAATATGGCAGAAACCCACCCCGAAAAAAAATACAGATAGATGGTTACAAGTTAACAATAAAGTAAACATTCACAAGCAGGAGGTTATATTTGGTTTAAACAGAAATCACACTATCAGATATGTGAATACCTTCTCTGGACGAGTCTCAACCTTGAAACGGACAAAACCTATGCACAAAAGAAGAGGAACAGCTACAGATAAGCACAACACCAACATTGGTTTTCTTGAAACAAATGTCCCATACTTCCTGTTCAAAGCCAAAAGATATGAAAAGTGAAACTTGCATCTCTTGCAAAGAAGAATAAATTTACTAGTGATAGACAAGAGACCTGAAGAAATTAGACATATAACCCTGAACAACTGAGGGTTGTAAAGCCTGTGCTACAGGAGGGTCCTCAGGTATCTGGAAGAGATTAAATAATAGCACAACAGCAACATTTATTTAATGACAGAATTTGGTAGTTAAGAAGACAAAAAAAAGCTCATACCAGAGTTGGTCAAGTAAACAATGGAATAAAATCATCAGCATTTCTATTAAAAATCTCAGAAACTGGTGACATTAATCAACAGGGACAACCGCAAATTGGGTGCAAAAAAGAAGAAAATTGTTGACCTGGAGGCCATAGTAACGACATATTGAAGATAAGACCCAACATTTACAAACAATGCAACAATGTTGAAGATCCTAAATTACATCATTGACCAAACCAATAACTTTCTGCACCATAATCATGTCTAGCCAAAATGGAAGTTGTTCATACCACTAATTACGCTTGAACTTGTCCCTTCCCCTATTAAGGATATTTTCTCTATTAACTGTTTGGCTTCCACAGCACCAAGACATGTGAGAATTCGCCAACTGATGAAAAAGAGCAAAGTAAATAGCAAACTTCGTATTTCAGGTTAAATTTTGAAAACATGTAATGCAAAGCATCTCAAGATTCTCAACCAGGAAAAAGTGATGCATATATCACTCATAGAGCGTGCCTAGACTTCCTCAGCCTCTCAGACCACTATAGTTGGAACTTAAGTTCATGTGACCAAAGATCAATTCAGAAGTATCTTGAGTGTTGATATCTGTCAGATATAGAGCTTCCAATTTGAAAATTAAATCATTGGTTCTGGTCTACATCATCTAAAAAGATTAATTAAAAACTAAAAGTCTACAAGTCTAACACCTTCTTTCCATCCATGGATCAAGTGATCACAAAATAGACATCTCAAAAATCAATAAGAAACATACTTTCATGCAGTTTATGAACAGCCAAATCTATTCCATACAGCTTCGTAATGTAGACACCTAATAACTTTGATTTTCAAAATGGAAGCTTCATGTTGAAATTTAAGGTGTATATCCACACTCCAAATCCTTCCAATAAACTAGTTCAATTCAGCATGTTAGTAAACTAAGGATGTGGGTTACTAGGAATTTTTCCTTCTGTAGGCACATAAAACACTACTATCAGATAACTTAAGACGGATATATCCACACTACTATGTATTTCAGATGACAATTTGAGATAATGTAATGAAAAGCATCTCAATTAAGAAAAAGTGATGCATATATGACTCATGGAGTGTGCCTACACTGACAATCACTCTGGAGAATATGATCGCCACCTAAGCCTGTTCCAGGCAAATCATTACACAAACTCAAGAACCTCAACAACTTAGAATGCCTACCAAGCTGCACCTAGAAGCAGTTCAACCAACATTTGTGTTGCTATTTGTTGGCCCAAAAACTGGCCCATTATCAAGAGGCCCAGTGCCCCCTCTTATTTCCCTTTCCCAGCCCTTGTCCTGACTGTCTGCTATCACTTTTGAGTCTCATCTCCATTTGTTGTAGGTCGGCTCCCACCTCTATTTTTTTCCCTAGCCATTCCTTCATTGTCGGTTCCCCCACTATATACCTTGCTGTAGATCAGAGAGGAAGTAAGAGAGAGAGACTGAGAGAAGAATAGGAGCGATGAGAGTGAAGTAGATCAAGAGCTCTGTGCTCTGGAGATCTGAGTGATCCTCTCCCTTCTGCAAGCTTTGTGCTCTCACCCTTTGTGCGATCCTCTCCCTTCTGGCTTTGTGCTTTCACCCTTTGTGAGGTGAGTAACTGTGAGAGAAGAGTGAGACCGTGAGTGTGACAGTGAGAAGAGTGAAGAAGAAGAACAGTGGCTTTGTGCTCTGAGAGCTTTGTTCGATCTGAGTGTGACAGTGAGAAGAGTGAAGAAGAAGAACAGTGGCTTTGTGCTCTGAGAGCTTTGTTCGATCCTCTCCCCTACTGTGAGCTTTTCTGAAGAAGAAGAACAGTGGCTTTGTGCTCTGAGAGCTTTGTTCGATCCTCTCCCCTACTGTGAGCTTTTCCCGTTCATCGCTTTGTGCGATCCCCTTTCCTCTTTGTGAGTGATTGAAGGAGAAGATTAGCGAGCTTTCCTTTGTGTTCTTGGTGGTGCACAACTGAGAAGGAACAGTGACCAAAGAGCAGGCTTCTGATCCAAACAGCGACGACCAACGATACTCTACAGTGGTATCAGAGCTCGGTGAGTCGTCGCCCTTCCAAAACAGCCGATCGCCCCACCGCAGGAGTCGTCGCCGCCGCAGATCTGCGACTCTAGAACGCCGGACAGCCGCAGGACACCACTGGACCTCCGTCGGACCGCTGCGTGGGCGTGGGTAAGGTCGAAACCCTCTCCTAGAGTTTCGCTCAGGTGAATTGACTGAAAAAACAAACTCTTATCAGTGTTTTATTTCTGCTGTAGTCAAGCTCTGTCTTTGTTAAAAATTGTAGTAATTGTTGAAAATTACAGTAAATCTTCAAGATTATCTTTTTCCTGTGTTTAATCCCTGGTTTTTTTAGTTCGTTGTGTTTAACTGCTGAAGTTAAATTTTATTTGTGCTCGTGCGAAATAAAAAAGGGTTTGAACCCGAGCTTCGTGCTCATCGTTATTCTCATTTTGTTCGTGCTAGTTGCTTCGCACGTTTCAAGCGTGATAAATTTTTTAAAAAAATTTCAGCTGTATTTGCATTTTATATTTTCTGTTATTGTTTGTGCTCATGTGAAAGAACAAAGAGATTGAAACAAGAACTTTGTGTTCATCGTTCTTCTCATTTGGTCGTGCTAGTTGCTTCACACGTTTCGAGCCGGATAATTACCGAAATCAGAATGTTTACTGCTAATCCATATAGTATGGTTCCGTTCTAACAAAAAATCTGATTTTAGCATTTGAAAATAAAAAATAAAATACATTTTAATTCAACAGAAATCTTTTAGGGCTGTTGGTCAGACTAATTTGACTTCTGACACTGAAGAAAAAAGGAATGAAATAAACAAAAATGCTTGTTCCATAATTTATTTGAACTTATCTGACTCTGTGCTTAGAAAAGTTAGAATTTTGGAATAAAAATGCTTGTTCCATAATTTATTTGAACTTATCTGACTCTGTGCTTAGAAAAGTTAGAATTTTGGAATCTGCTAAAACCCTTTGTGTGCTTAGAAAAGTTAGAATTTTGGAATCTGCTAAAACCCTTTGGGATAAATTTGAAGAACTCTATACTGAAACCTCTTTGCCCAGTAAAATGTTTTTGCTTGAAAAAAATTCAAATTTAGATTGGATATGTTTAAGGCTATTGAGGAGAATCTGAATGTTTTCACAAATCTTATTTCAGATATTAAGTTAACTGGTGATAAACATATAGACAACTATACTCCTATTACCCTTCTAAATGTTATTCCTGACTCATATAGTGATGTGAAATCTGCTATTAAATATGGTAGAGATGAGGCTGACTCATATAGTGATGTGAAATCTGCTATTAAATATGGTAGAGATGAGGTTACCCTTGACATTGTGGTCAATGGTCTTAAGAGTAAGGAATTAGATTTAAAATATTTTAAGGAAAATAATAATTCTGGTGAGGTTATGCATGCGAGATTATATAGTTGCGTACACACTAAATAAATGTATGCATATATTCAAGAAGTGTCCAAGAAGTTTGGGTGCAGGTATGGGTGGGGTATGGCTTCAGATAGAAGTACCCATGTAACATAGTCTACATTACTCGGACACGGCGGTTTGGCCGCCGTACCGGCGTCGATACGACCCGACACCGATCCGGATACGAAATACGGCTCGGATACGATAGTTGGCACTCGGATACGGCGAAAGAAAAACAAAAAAAAAAGAGAAAGAAAAGAAAATTAGAGAAAGAAATGATAAATTTACATACTTAGCTCCAGCTGCGGCTGCTCGTCGTCGACGAAGGAGGCGGCGGGGGCTGCGGCTGCTCGTCGTCGACGAAGGAAGGGGGAGGAGATGGCTCCTCATCGTTGATGGAGAAGGCGGAGGTGGCTGCTCGTTCACAACTAGAGTTTTTATTTTTTTTAGGGCGGCTCCAGATAGAGATGGTACGGAGAAACCCTAGAAAAAATGGGGTGTCGATAACTTTGTGTATTTGTCCTCAAGAGATCGCTAAAAAATTACCAGAATACCATGATGGAGCAAGCCTGTAGAGTTATTAATGGGCCAGGCCTGAAGTCTGTGGGCTGACAGTTTACAAAAATGACCTAAGAAATACATCCTTCATAAAAATGTACTTATTCTCAGCGGCCCAGTGTTGTTCAGAAGATAGCTCATCGTGGAGTTAACTAAAGACTGGAAAATAAATAACCTTCGTAGCAATCTCCTCTCCCTACACCAGCTATATTTTTTCTTCTTTTTTTCCTTTCAAACACTACTCTAATAGAAGACTGAAATATATATTAATTTATAGATTTCAGAGCATGCGGCAAAAATTATAAAATACCCATAATCCCAAAAACAATAAATTAATATTTTTTGAATTTAATTAGTTGTACTTCATTAAATAAATTAAACTATTATTAAAAGTGTATCCCCGTACCCGTGTCGAAATTTAGGACGGTGTCCCCGTATCCAAAATTTTTAGAAATTTCGTATCGGACACTCGGATCCGCACCCGTATCGGATACTCGTACCCGAGTCTAGGTAACGTAGGTTATAACTGTCATGAAACTGGTCACTTTATTAGAGATTGTTGTAAGCCTAGGAAAAATCAACAAAATGATCATACTAATATGGCTATTTGCACTGTTTTAAAAAACTTCCGCCTAGTCCGTTTAGGCGTACGCCTAGGCCTAGGCGGTACCTAGGACATCTAACTAGCGCCTAGCGCCTAGGCGGTATTTAGGCTGTCCACCTAGATTTTACGAGCGTTTAGGGGAGCATTGTCTGTTTACGTGGATTGCACCATGTAGGCCTTGATTGTGATTTTATGTGTCGTAGCCTACACGTCCTCCAAACTCTATTAACCTCCAAATATGAACACCTCCATTACCTCCTCTGACCTTCAACAAAACCTCATCGATCACCACTTAAATGAAGAAAGAAAAAAAAC